ATTTTTAGAAATGAAACTTTACCAACTGTCAGAATCTAGCTGGTAACCACCCCCAAACTAACAGAGTGTCATCATCACATTTTTAAGTTATTTTCCAGCTCAAATATAATGTCCTCATTGCTGACTTGAGCCAAGCACAATAAACCTGCATGAAAAAATAAAATACATTATTCCTCCACCTTCAGGGAGACCGAAAACAGACAGCATCAGATGTCTGGGAGGAAATACTGTGATATCAAACTTCGTTTCTGAAATTTTTAACAAGTGTAAAGTGATTCTGAAAAACAAAGGAAGCAGTTGAAAAATTAGATTTTCTCATGGGCAAAAGACTCCTAGAAAGTATCATTTTGTGATAGCATGAGATATAACACTTTGGTTGTGGATCTTTTGGTCCCCTGAGCCAGGATTCTAGGCTGGTGGACGCTAAATTGTTGTCAGTTATTTGCATCTGATAACCTGATGTTAGTTAACTAAAGAGTTGTCACTTACATGATGATTACTAATATGGGTAAGTTGTATACTTTTATAACTATTTTGATTAAGTGATGTTTTTAATCTTCCAAATCAATCTCTCTGTCTCTCACACACACACCACACACACACGCACACACAAGCATTATTAGCACAATTTTTAAAGGGCCTAGAATAACACTATTCTCTTCAGAATAGCAATCAGTGAAAATATGTTACAGAAAGGCATTTAGGATATTCCAAATGAAAATGAGAGTCTTTTGTTCCTATGGACCACACACCTTCAGAAAGGGCCCAGCTGAAGAAACAAAGAGGAAAGGACACACCTGAGCTGTTTGTTAGACCAATCGTGGGGATAAGTGAAATGACAGCAGATGCAGCCAGAGCACCCTTACATCTGAACCTCTTACAAGTCTGTCTCATCCACAGGACAAGACACCCACGTAAAGACCTTCGGGGCAGCATCCCGTCAGCATCCTGGTAGCTCTGATTTGCTCTTAATGCAGAATGAAAACAAACTTTCGCAATAACAACAGAAACCATCCCTGTATTTTTAGGCAGCCTCATTGTAGCCTATACCCTTAAATTGGACCTGAGTCGATTCTGACAGTTCATAGGATGTGTCACCAGGATTCAGACTTCGAGTGACATGATGCAACATTGTTCCTGATTACTCATATTCCACAGCTCAAAGACAAAAGAATTCTATCAGAGAGGCTCACGCTTCCTCCATCCTTTCTATTAAACAAATCGAATGTTCTGACAGCACACCTATCTATAGATGTCAAGTCACATTTACAAACATCTAAATCAAAGGCTTGCCAAGGCAAGTCTTCGGTGGAGAAGATTTAAAAAGTAAACTCAGTTTCTTAAACGTTACCATTTGATTCACATTCTATAAAAACACATAACCAAAGTCGTGGGAGAAAACAATCAAAGAAAAAGATTCTACACGTAATAAACAGCTTTCCTTTCATTTTTACTGATGCTTTTCTCATCTCGTTAAACTCAGAATTCATCCAAGCCACCTCTTCAATTTGTACACTGTGAAGTCATAGCTCTTCATTCTCTAACCCCAGGAGAACTTTAACATTTTAACTGGGTGACAGGATTCAATACGAGAGATTCTGGAAACAGATTCTGTGTGCCTTCCTGTGCTGGCAAAGCGGGTTGGACCATTAAGTGACAGAAGATTGAGGGGCTAGTGGGGGTACCAGCGAGTTACTCCTTTAGAATTCAGATCCCTTACTTCTGGCATATTCTTTGAAACCGTGACAAGGAGGAAAGAAGGCAAACTGAGTCACCAGGCCAGAGACAGTTGCAGAGCACCTTAGCAATTGAGTTTATACCCAGATTGGGTAGAGGCCAGAAGAAATGTTCACAAGACACTGAAAACATAAAGGAGAAAAACACCAGTTGCCACCGAGTTAATTCTAACTTACAGAGACCCCATGTGTGTCAGAGTAGAATTGCCCCTTTGAGGGTTTTTAATGGCTGATTTTTTGGAAGTAGATGGCCAGCCCTTTCTTCTGAGGCACTTTCTGGGCAGACTCAGACCACCAGCCTTTCAGTAAGTAGTTGAGTGCTTAACCATTTGTGCCACGCAGGGACTCCAAAAGTGGAAGAAACCCTCCACTTTGGATACAAAGGCTTTCAACTCCCAGTCTCTGTATGCTCAAGTCGGTTTCAATCACTCAACAAAACTGAATTCCTGATGGTGCTGGAGCCTCTGAAGAAATCATTTCAGCCTGCCATTCCTGTTAATCGCCTTGTGTCTTCTGGGAACACGGGTATGAAATCAGTACTTCAGTAAAGACAGCATTTAAATTACTTGTAAAAGATTGCTACAGAAGGTAGCGTAACCACACATATTCCACGAAGCTGTTTCAATGGCAAAAGGTTAGGCAAATGAGGTTGACCCACACACAAATACATGAGTAGAACAGAACAAGAACGTCCTATGAACATGAAGAATTTCAAATGGTTGCACAACTTGCAGAGTGTCACTGAATTGTACATGTAGAAACTGTTGAATCAGTGTATGTTCTACTGTGCATATTCTCAACAACAAAAATAAATCATATGTTAAAACAACAAGATAAATACCTCTGCAAATTCTGGTGGTGAAAATTTATCAGACTGATGATGTAAGTCCCAAATTTAATTAATAATGTACTCTTTTATGATAATAAAATAATACGAATACGTGCAAATAAAAAACTTGTTTCGTTCTCATATAAGGCTTAAGAGATCATCAACACAAAACTAAAATATTTGTCTTGAGATTTGACAACATTTTTTTGTTCTTTACCAGAGTATTTGTGAAATTCATATCCCATTCATTCTAAATTTTGTATCAGTTATCATCTATTTTGGATTTAAAATTCTAAAACACTATCAAGGAATACTTTTGTGCAACCACACAATGGGAGCTGGAATGGGGGAAGGTGGGAGATATGCATTTGTGTTTTTATTTCACTATTATTACTTCAAACATCCTATTTAGATCTCTATTTATCCAACTACCAAATGAGAGTTTTGGGTAAGGCTTCTAAAAGCCCATCTTAGCTTTGAAATGATGAAGCTCTCTGTACAACTTTCTATATAACCACTAACCAGATCTAGATCTATGCTTTTGTCCAACTGTTTAACAAATAACTCAATATTTTTATTGTAAAAATGAAGATATACTTTTTCTCTTAGAATTATCATGAAGAGAATATACTCTCAAAATGCAAAAGTACTTTGAAAAGGACATATTATACGTATATAAGACGAAATTACGTGTAGAACTCAGATACATCTGGTTTTAGCTTATCACTAATGACACAAGCAGCCCTGGTGGCACAGTGTTGACCAGCAAAGTTATAATATCCTGCTGAGCTAGAACCCTGCTGGTGACCTGATGAGAAATGTCTAGTGAACTAATGTAACAATCTTAGTAGACTACATTATCATTCTTATGAGTAGTTCATGAAAAACAAAGTATTACTCTCCTATCTCACTGAATCAAAAAAAGCATAACATTTTTGGAAGGTAATTCAAGTGTATCTATATTTCAAATGATGGGGACAGCAATATATGCTAAAGAAGCAAAACAACTAAAGGTTCTGTAGATAACAAACCAAAAAACCAAACCCAATGCCATTGAGTTGATTCTGACTCATAGACACGTTCTGTAGATGGGCAATATAAGCTAATTATTACTGGGTTTAACCATATGGAAAAACTGGTGTTGGAGAATTTTTGACCTGCCAAAATGGCAATTTCACATAATTCAACCTAATAAAATTTACACACAAAATGCAGAACTCACCTTAGAGGAAACACTAACTATAATAACATGAATTGTATTATTTACTATTTATTGAACTCTTTTTACGGAACTGAGTTCAATGATCCACGTTTTATCTCAATAAATCCTAAAAACAAATCTATGAATCTATTATGAATAGATTATGAATCTATTTTCATGTGAGGAAAACAAAGCATAGAGCGATTCAGTACCTTGCCCAAGATCATGGAGTCAAGTAGAGTCTGTCCTTCAAATGAAGTCTGTACTATCACCTATCCTGTTGGCAGAAAAGAATAAATGGCTCCCAGACTAAAAGGAGACAGCCCAGTGGATGTTATCGGCATATGGAAAGATGAATGGTGGGGGCCCCATAAGGATGGGAGGCTGAGAGGGAGAGAGCTGAAGCATTTACCTATCATTATATAGGAGAAATGTAGCCTGCACGGCCCACTGAGTAGCATACCTCCTCCGCGTGATATGAACACAGCAGGTTATTACAACTAAAAGTCTTTTACTATTAAAATCAATAAACTGGCTCTCTTTGTTCTAATTCCAGTTCTACCACGCACATGTCTGATCATCGTGGAACTCCCATAAAGATTTTTCAAACATGAAAGAACGTGCTGATGAGCCAAACCAAACATCTAGTTTTCACGACATTTTAAAAGGAGACATTAACGCTGTATCAGTCTCCAGGAGATATAGCTACTCTTTAAAAAAAAAAAAAAAAACCCGTTGCCATTGAGTAGATTCTGACTCATAGTGACCCTATAGGGCAGAGTAGAACTGCCCCATAAGATGTCCTAGGCTGTAAATCTTTACGAAAGCAGATTGCCACATCTTTCTCCTGCTGAGTGGCTGAGGGGTTCGAACCACCAACCTTTCAGTTAGCAGCTGAGCGCTTAACCACTGTACCACCAGGGCTTCTTGGTTACTTTTTAGATGCCATGGTATCAAGTCTCAAACTGCACAGTAGAGAACCAGATGTGGAACAAAGCGAACACCCCAAGGTACCATCCTACCATAAGCATGTGTCCATGTGACCAGGTGGCCTCAGCAGCCAAACCTGTAAAAGCCTTCAAAGTATTCTCTAATTTAAACAAAAATAAAGTGGTTAAACAGTACTGTCTCACATAATAATCCATTTGACTCTATGTGTGTAATTATAGCACAGAAGGGAAACATGTCTACAGAACATAGTATATTCGTTGAGTTCAGGGTTAATTTTCTTTACCTTTCTAGAGCTTTGTGAAGAGTAGGATCCATAGTCACCCTAAAAACAGAGACACAAACATTTAGCAAACATTAAATAATTTCATATTATTTTCCATGAAAGCAGTTTACAAAAGCACATTATTAATGGACTAATAAACATGAAAATATATCTTGAAAGGTGACACAAAGTAACACACAGGAAATGTAACAGATTATAAAAAGATGTTTGTAGGAAATGCTTGGATAAAAACAGAATAAAGAAAAGCTCTGAACCATGCACACAAAATTATTAGCAACAATAATCTGAATAAAAGTTCCAAAAATGAAGTTGCACCAAATACACAAAAAAGTATAATCCTGAAATTGAAATGAATATGCCCATGAGATGCATATAACAGTTATAATAAAGATAATACAAAAGAAAAAAAAAACTCTCCTCAGTGTCAAAATGCTGGCATAGTAAAACATTTTCTTATACCATTTTTCTCAACAGCTACTATGAGACACCTATTTGTCTCAAACTTCATATCCCCAAATAATGTTTACCAAGAGCCAGAACAACAAGGCATGTAAAAGTCAATAGTCTGATTATGCAAGAGATGACATGGTCCCTATAATACTATTACAACCTAAAAATAGAAACCAAGAATCCACTCTGAGTACAGGCACTCCATGATGAAGATTAAGGCTGACTAACTGCTTTTACAAAATGCTAACTTTATTCTATGAGGGGAGAAAAAGGGTAGAGGGATTCAGCTCATTTCCTATTAGGATATACAGGAATATGTACCAAGATACAAATTATTCCAAGTGGTATCGAAGTTTAATTATGCAGAATATGAAGAAAGGAACCTTATACGTTGTACCTTTAGCTCTAACTATACTTACATATAGTTAATTCGGATCTTCTGAAAGCTATATAAATTGATACCCCAAAATTATTCTGTCTGCTTAAAAAAAATCCACTATAAAATCAAAGAACTAAATCTGAAATTTCAAGTTTATATCTGCTATTCCAATAAAGGAAGACAAAAGGAAATTAACATATTTATCTTAAACCTTACTTTGTTCTTGATACCTTAACTACATTTTCTCACATGATCCTCACAACAACTTCCACAACAGTAATTTTAACAACTTTTTGTAATCATAAAAAGCAATGTGCATTTTTTGTGGAAAATATGCAAAATACAGAAAATAAAAACCAATCATAAGCCTACCACTGAGAGGAAAATTAATATTTTGTGTTGTTCCCTTTTCAACACAGTCACAACACAGCATTTTAAACATGATTGGCATTATACCAGATATGCAGTATAACTTGCCTTTATCCCTTAACACTGAATCATTTTTACATATAATAGTCTTTGAGAACATGATCTTAAGAGTTGTACCCTCATCTTCATAGTCCCGTGGCAACATTTGTTCAAACATCTCCTGATATTTATGATTTAAGTTGTTCAGGTTTTTTGTGTTTGTTCATCTAGCACATCTAACACTGCTATAATGTTCCTTGAACAAAAACCTTGACCTTATAGTATCTGCTAATTTCCTTAAGTGAAATTCACTAAAACGGAATTTCTGAAGAAAAGGCATCATAAACTTTTTTCATGGCACTTGTTATAGATTGCCCACCAAAAGGGCAATTAGCAGTATACAGCAGTTCCTATTTCCCTAAACATTCACAAATATATTTTAACATTTTCATAAAATACTTTTTCATTTCATATAGAAAATGGTATATAACTTTTAATTATTTTTCTTGTTATTACAGCTGAGTAATTTTTCAAAAATTTTAAAGTAATTCTCCTGTCTAGTGTCTGCCTATGGCCTTTGATCATTTTTACTTAGGAAATTTGTGGTTTTCTTATTGATTTGTAAGACCTCTTTATCCATTAAGGATATTAATCATTCGTATATCATCTTTGTATAAATATTTTAATTTGCCTTCCCAGTCTGTTATTTATATTTAGGTTTGGTTTATAATGGTTTTTGATGTACAGAAGTTTAAATTTTATGTAATCAAACCTGTAAGTCTTTTCTTTTGCGGTTTCTTCCATAGTTTTTATGCTTAGAAAGTTCTTCCTCAGTCCAATGTCACCTTTATTTTCCTTTACCTGCCTCCCCCATTCCCACCACCACCTTTACCCATGTAAAATCTATTGTGGATATGGCATGAAATCAGTATTTAATGCGATTTCTCACCACCCCCTCTCCTGGTCATTTTCCCCCCAGCACCATTAATGAAATCAACCATTCTTTCATGGGCCATTTGTGTAAGATTAGCTTTGATAATCAGTTGCTTTGAGTCAAAACCTGAGTTCTAATGTCAGTTTTGACACCTTGGCAATTTTTTTTTAACTTCTTTGAATCTTAGTTTCCTAATTTGTAAAGCAGGATTTGTAATCACAGTGCCCATCCAGCAGGCTTGTTGTAAGGATTCAACCAGACAACGTACAGAAAGCGCCTACCTCATGCTTACCACATTCCCACTCAAATAAACCAACAGATAGAGCCCTGATTCAGGGCTCTCTGTTCTCTCCCTGTGTTCCATCTGTCAATATTTGTGTCTAGTGTAAATTTTATAGAACATATAATATTTGGCAGACATATATGATGAAAATATTTCTCCAATTTTTTCTTTTTTTTTAAATTTTGGCTATCCCCATCTGCTTGTTCTTCACATAGTGCCAACTCATTTCTTGTTACAGTTATTCTGGTTAGTTTCCATGCAGTCAGCCCCAACTCATGGTGACCCCATGCACAACAGAAAGAAATGCTGTCCAGTCCTGTGCCATCCCCATAATTGATTATGGGTCACACCTTTGTGATCCATAGGGTTTCATCGGCTGATTTTTTGAAGAATATGACCAGGCCTTTCTTCCCAGTCCATCTTAGTCTGGAAGCTTCAATGAAACCTGTTCAGCATCATAGCAACACACAAGCCTCCACTGACAGACGGGTGGTAGATGCATATGAGGTGCACTGCCAGGAATCAAACCTGGGTTTCTGACACAGAAGGTAAGAATTCTACCACTGAACCACCACTGCTCTCTACATTTATTCTTAAGATGCTCTTTTCCCACAGGTATACTTTTTTTTTTTTGGTGGTGCTGGTGGTGGTGGTAGGGTAAGCCTCATTACATACTCCAGGACTTCCAAAACAATGTTCAAAATTAACGGTGGAAAACAGTTCTGATTGTCTTTTAATTGATTAAAATATCAAAGCTTCTACCGTCTTCACTGAGTATGACGTTACCTATGGGTTTAAAACAGGTAGACTTTATAATATTGAAGAAGTCTCTTTCTATTCTTAGCTTTCTGAGATTAAGTATTTTTATCTCCATCTCATAGAGGAAATGGAGGCCTGGTGGCACAGTGGTTAAGAACTCGGCTGTTAACCGAAAGGTCAGCAGTTCGAATTCAACAGCCGCTCCTTGGAAACCCTATGGGGCAGTTCTACTCTGTCCTATCAGGTTGCTATGAGTGCGAATTGACTCAATGGCACAGGAATAGAAGAAACTGAATTTTAAAGAAGTAAAATATGTTGCTCAAAGTCATGCAACTAGAACCTGGTAGGTCCTGAATACACAACCAAGTAGCTTTGTTTGAATCCTTTTTATTTTCCATTACAAGCACATCATTCAGACAAGAGCTTATACCAGTACTACTCAAACTATTTCAGAACACAGAAAAGAAAGGGAAACGTCCAAATCCATCCTATGAAGCCAGTATAACCCTGATACCAAAACCAGGCAAAGATACCACAAAAACAGAAAATTACAGACAAACACTGCTCATGAATATAGATGGAAAAATTCTCAATAAAATTCTACCCAATAGAATTCAGCATAATATCAAAAAATAATACATCATGACCAGGTAGGATTCAACCAGGTATGCAAGGATGGTTCAACATTAGAAAATCAATCAACTTAATCCACCACATAAATAAAAGAATTACATGATCATCTCAATTGATGCAGAAAAGGCATTTGATAAAGTCCAACACCCGCTCCTGATAAAAAACTCTCAACAAAATAGAATAGAAGGGAAATTCCTCAATATAATTAAAAGCTTTTATACAAAGCCAACAGCCAACATCAACCTAAATGGAGAGACTTTGAAAGCATTCCTCTTGACAACGGGAACCAGACAAAGATGCCCTTTATCACCACTCTTATTCAACATTGTGTTGGAGGTCCTAGCCAGAGCAATTAGGCTAGGAAAAGAAATAAAGGGCATCCACATTGGTAGCAAAGAAGTCAAAGTATCTGTATTTGCAGATGATATGAAAACCCCAAAGAATCCACAAGAAAACTGCTGGAACTAATAGAAGATTTCAGCAAAGTTTCAGGATATAAGATAAACATACAAAAATCAGTTTGATTCCTTTACACCAACAAAAAGAACCTTGAAGAGGAAATCACCAAATCAATGCCATTTATAGTACCCCCAAGAAGATAAAATACTTAGGAATAAATCTAACCTGAGATGTAAAAGATCTATACAATGAAAACTACAAGACACTACTGCAAGAAAGCAAAAGAGACCTGCATAAAAACATACCTTGCTCACAGATAGGTAGACTCAACATTGTGAAAATGTCAATTCTACCCAAAGCAATCTACAGATATAATGCAATCCCAATCCAAATTCCAATGGTATTTTTTAATGAGATAGAGAAACAAACTACCAACTTCATATGGAAAGGGAAGAGGCCCGGAATAAGTAAAGCATTACTCAAGAAGAAGAACAAGGTGGGAGGCCTCACACTACCTGACTTTAGAACCTATTATACCGCCACGGTAGTCAAAACAGCCTGGTACTGGCACAACAACAGATACACAGACCAATGGAACAGAATTGAGAATCCAGACATAAATTCATCCACCTATGAGCAGCTGATATTTTACAAAGGCCCAAAGTCCGTTAATTGGGGAAAAGAGAGTCTCTTTAAAAAATGGTGCTGGCATAACTGGACATCCATCTGCAAAAAACTGAAACAAGACCCATACCTCCCACCAAGCACAAAAACTAACTCAAAATGGATCAAAG